CGGAGGTGTGCCAGCAAATCATGTAACACCTCATCCTGCCATTGAAACAGGGTGGTAAGATGTTCTAACCTTGACGCGTTGTCTTCCATCGAATCCCAAGCTGCAGCCGAAGTTGCCGAGGCCAACGCTGAAACAGGCTTCAACATCCGCTTGAGCTCTGCATCAATAGCCAACATCTTGGAGTCCTGCACTTGGTAAGATGACTGTGGGGAACCCGATAAGCGCTTGAGGGATTCATCATGAGCCGCGCCTCCATCAGCGAAATCCAAGCTATGTATCTTGTAGTCCCCTTTGCGCGACTTAGGAGCCTTAATAGTAGTATTGAGAGACAACGTAGCAAAGTCAGCGTCCAAAGAAGCCACAGCATCGGCCACCATCAGGTGAGGCGGGAGCAGTAACTCAGAAGACCGAATAGCTCTCGGGTCGGCCGATCCTGAAGAGGGAGAAGGACAATCCGGCAGTCTGTCGGCAATCCAGTCGAACACAGCAGAGAGGGGGGGGGGTAAGTGCCCCCATCATCCTCCTCTTGCAACATCTCCTCGTTATAATCGGGAGAAAAATAGCGCTCCTCAGTGTCCTCCCAGGACACAGTAGGTGCATTAAACTGTTGACCAGAAGCAGCAGGCGTTGGGCGCTCAGATGACAACTGAGAAGCAGCACTCAAAGTAACTGTAGGGGAACGTGGTCGTTGGCGGCGAGCGGCGAACAGGAGGTGACCTTGAACGGGACCGACGGTATCGCCTCCCACGTATCGGTGACCGTGAACGCCTCTCCCTATCATTGGAACGTCCGGGAGAGCGAGACCTTGATTCAGACCGACGACGGCGATGAGAAGTATCAGAACTATGACGAGGACTCCTAGACCGATGATGCTGACGAGGAGACCTGGAACGAGATCGCCGAGAACGACGGGAGCGCTCAGCGTCCTGACGTCGGGAACGCTCTTCCAGTAACTGACGCTGTAAATCCTCCTCTCTAGACACAGTAGCCTTCCTGGGCATACGGTAGTCTGCAAAAGGTGTCGGAGTTGGCGCTGGCGCTAGCGTCGGCGTCAACATGGCGTCGGCATAGGCATAGGCATAGGCGTCAGCATGGGACTCGGCATAGGCGTCGGCATAGGCGCTGGTTGATGCAACAAGCCAGCAACAGTAGAATCAAGTGCCACAGGCGTCGGCGCAGGGACAATGCTAGGCAACGGCGCTGGAACGGTGCTAGCTTGGACTCCAACAGCTGCAGGCAAGAGGAGCGTCCGAAGCAGCTTCTGTACCTCCGGATGAGACAAGGCGTCCGGCTGAGATAAGTCAACAAAGGCGTCAGACGGGCGCTTGGCTTCAGGCGTCAGCAAACGCGGCGCAGGGGTAGACGGCTGATCTATCAAAGGAGAGGAGCGTCCGACCGGCGTTCGAGGAAGAGAAGACCGGGAGTCCACAGAAGAAACAGGAGAAGACATCTTCCTCTTCCATTGTGACAAGCGTTTTTCTTCTTGGCGCTGATGTAAGCCTTGAAATCTGCAACGGGCAGCGGCGTACAAAAATGACAGCGCTCGGCAAGGGAACAGGCAACTGTAGCACAGTCTGGGCACCAGGGGTGGGGATCCTTGGCAGACTTCTGCACTCTGCAGATGCAACAAAACTGCCGGGTCATGCACACAAAAAGCTGTAACACACAAAAAACATGAAACGTAATCACCCAGAAACAAAATACAAAATACTCGGAACGTGGGAACACACCCCACACCGAAGTGAAAAACGTAAACACGAGGCAGCCAGGTAAGTGAAGTTTACTTTAAATTATGTTCTTCACCCACACAGAGAAGAAAATAAGATAGAAAAGCATACATACCAACAACTTTAATATCTGAAAAAATTAGTAAGTGGAAAAACTTAGCGAAATCAAAAACGTCTGACATGCAAGACGCTTGAAGTAAAAGTGATTTTGGATGGACCGCGCTTGCGCGGGAGGGGAGATCACGTCACTTCCATTCCTGTACACTCGTCGATACACGAGGTAGCCATTCTAGAGAATGGCGAATCAACGACTGTCTGATCTCTTTAAGCAGAGCTTGAGGTAATATGCATAAGACCTATGGTAAGGTAAGTTAAAAATTAATACTATAGAGAGAGTATTTCTAACAATAAATTCTCCTGTACACACCATGCAATAACATTACATGCCAATACGTAAAAGGCAACTATGCTTGTCGTAAGCGGCGACTAACGGGATCGGGTGGTCAGGCTTGCTGACTTGGTTGACACATGTCATCGGTTCCCAATTGCGCAGATCAATGCGCATGTTGTTGATCACTGGATTGTCTGGTCCAGACTTGATCATTTACAGACCGCCATATAGCTGGAATATTGCTGAGTGCGGCGTAAAACTAAACTCACTCACTCACTCACATACCAATAGGCCAACAACAAACATCAAATGAATATTGGCCTGGTTGCAGTGCCTTGCCTTGCTTTGAATAAGTCCTCCAAAACTTCTGAGTTCACATTTAAACTGAATTCTGTTTCCTTCTCGAGACCATGAATATTCTGTATTAGTCTTCAACTTCTTCAACCCTTTAGCCTGCTCGATGAATACTTCTCTCAAATGAGATATCTTTTCGTCACAAACAGCTTCAAAATCTCGTTGATTGTCGAGCATTTTCAAAATGGCGTCAAGTTTTGCTGCGGTTGAATTTTCAGACATGATTGCTGTGTAATGATATTAACACTGCCATGGTGATTAGCAAGAGAGGAGACCTACTGTCACTCACCCCTATATATACCCCTAATTCACCCGGAGTAATTACCTCCCTTTACTATTGCATACCACTACGGAGAAAGTAGTTTCTCTCTCTTATTCACAATGCATTCAACCAAGAGAAACATCATTAGCTACAGCAAAAAAGTAATGTCTTGTGACCTGTATAATCTCCAGGAAACACTGCAGTTCATCAATATTGCCATGCATCTCTACAGTTGTAGGAGGTAACAACAAATAAGTATCATGACCCACTGGCCACTGTCAATACATTACTGGTGAGTATACACACTTCAATACATGTACATATGTCCAATTTCTGATATAATCACTACTTGCAATCAACAAATCGCAAAAAGGCAAGGACAGACGGTTTATTGTTACCGGTAAATGCCACACTCAGCAATATTCCAGCTATATGGCGGCAGTCTGTAAATAATCGAGTCTGTACCAGACAATCCAGTGATCAACAGCACGAGCATCAATCTACGCAAAATTGGATACGGTGATGTGTCAGCCAAGTCCCATTAGTTGCCTCTTACAACAAGCATGGGTTGCTGAAGACCAATTGAATCCTGGATCTTCACAGATCTGATTCTCTGTCACACTTTAATACACATGCCCAATTTGTGACATAATCACTACTTTCAAAAGCCAAGACAGAGAAACTTGCATGTTGAACCCTGCTTCAGGTTAATTGATGAAAACATGGTTCTAGTATCGTTTTCATCTTGAATCATAAACCGTATGACACATAAAAAATGTAGGTCAATTTCACAATTTCTGGGTATTCTGGATAAGGTGAAAAATTCTGTTGATATCACCTGCAATACTGTGAAAAGACTATTTTGATTATACTTGAGTTTTGGCTATTGAGACATTTTGTAATCTGTTCTTGTGTTGTGTTTAGGAACAATGACTGGACAAATTAGACATAATATTTTTAGGCCAAATGTCCTTCATTTCACTGAACAAGGGTTGAAACCATGTATTATTACAGGGTCAGCAGACTCAGTAGTGAGACAGATACCAACAAAATAACATTTTGATAGTCACCTAATACATGCCAATCTGAATATAAAAATATATCCTAGTAGAGCTGTCCATCTAAGTAGACATGATCTGCTAGTCAGCTGGTTGTTGGTCACAGAAGCAAAATGCCTCCGAACAAATATATAAATCTGTATAAAGACTGACCATTATGATGACAATGAGATGACCATCAGCAAAGGACATGACAGGTACGCAAGGTATAAGGACAAAGTTTCAAACGTGCCCTTTCAAAGGCTGAGTCATGATAAGGACACTTACTGGCCTACTGAAAATTTTAGTAACCCAAGATGAATATGTTACCAAAGATTTGCTATGACCTTTTAAACATATTGTGAGAAAAACAGAAAGACACTTCATGAAAACTCTAGCATCAACCTTTATGACAAATTCAATTCTACATTCAATGTTTTAAGTCCAAAACTTTACCAGACTTAAATGACTTAACATTGCCTTGTATTGCTCTTCTAACTTTCGTAAAATTCTAAAACATTTAGAAATTATGCAGATCTTATCTTAGCCCTAGATTTTATACATGTTCTGTGAAGAGAAAATATAAATATTATTGGTATGAGTGAGTGAGAGAGTTGGAATTCACACCGCTTTTAGCAATATTCCAGCAATGTCATGGCCGGGGACACCAGAAATGGCGGAAACGAACCTGGGTCTTCAGCACGAGGAGCGACTGCCTTAACCATTAGGCTACCCCACCGCCCCCTTATTGGCATGAAAAAATCTAAATGATTGTCAGATAGCACTTTCAATTTCAACCACTATAAGGAGGAACTATTTTTTTAAAGGAAAGTATATAGATAACCTGACATTATACTACATCACACTGTCAAAAGTTTCCATAACTTTAACACTTAGCAGGCGTCATACCTTGTCTAAATTTGATGATAAGTCACATGTTCTCCAGTCTTTGGTATAAGTACAGTATTTACAAGATCAAGGGTACCTGTATCACTTCTAAATATAATTCATAAACTTTAGTATTTATAAAGAAACCAAGGACGCACACACACATGCTGCATCACAATGAAGGACAGATGGCTTCAATGAAAAATCAAAATCATTTCATGTTTGTATCAAGTTCAGTTATTCACACCACCAAAGACGAAATAAATTCATTAGAATTGAAAAATACTGCAACATAACAAATATTTTAACATTACTTAAAAAGCAAATGCAAACCTTGCTACGAAGTGGATTTTTATAGTGTTTCAAACAAGAACATTCTGACTATTATAACCGTTATACAGACAGTACTTACAATCATCCATGGCCTCTAAGGGAACAGTACGAGATGTGCATTAAGAGTTATCTCCCTTGCACTGCACACATACACATGTTCACACAACATCAATGGCACTAAAGGTAAGGCTTTTCATTGTCACACTATGAAACATCAAGGAGACAGAAATGAAATATGTTTGTCTGTATGAAAATGGTCATAAAAATAAACTCATGTCATCCAGGGGCATAATGTCAATTTACACTGGGCCATTGTGTCTCAGTAACATTTCAACACCGTCACCGTGAAAATAGTTTTCATATAGCTTTCCCCCAATCTCCACCAAATCAGATAGTTTACTCGGATATCATATCTCTCTGCATCAAGATCTCACCTCCTACATAGGAGTGGGTGAGTTTAGTTTTATGCCGTTTTTAGCAATATTCAGCAATATCACGGCGGGGGACCCCAGAAATGAGCTTCACACATTGAACCCATGTGGGAAATCGAACACTTTAACCACTAGAATAGCCCATCAGAACCCTACATAAGACCTTGTGTCAGGTGAACACTGAGCAAACTATGACCACCAAATATAAATGAGCCCTTGAGCCCAGCCAAATGAAAATGTGTGGGTTCTTAAACCAATGTGAATGAAAAAGTGTGGGGTTTTATGACAATTAAATGGCAGTTTCTTGAAATAATTTATCCTCATTTCTTTACATCAACTCAAACATTGACTTCTTCCATAGTACCCCAGTTTCTCTGTAGATGCCACTGTGCTCAGAAACAGGGTGCTTAGCCACAGTAACAATATGGTGTGCCCCTTATGATTTACATTTTGAACTGCCTTTTTCTTTCATTTTTGAGATGCAGAATTCTGATATGCTAGTCTGAAAACTTTCCTCACGTGTACTGAGAATTACGCAGCCCCTACACAGACTAGTTGATAAGTTTACCCGATGCAACCTCTTAATGAGGGGATATCAGATCTCAGAGGGTTCATCTAGCACCAAAATATCTGATTAGTTTCCTCAAGGCTTCTACAGGGCATCTGGCAAGATAATGTACACCAACTGTCCACAAGTAGTACTTGTGCATAACATGAGTGACTGAGTGAGTATAGTTCTACGTCGCTTTTAGCAATATTCTAGCAATATCACGGCAGGGGACACCAGAAATGGGCTTCACACTTTGTACCTATGTGGGGAATCGAACCCGGGTCTTGATGAGCCAACGCTTTAACAACTGGGATCCCCCACCGCCCCACTTTTGGGTAACAAATATCTCTCCTTGTTCATCAGGAATACAAACAAATAACAGGTACAAAGAGAGACCTTCTGCGTCAATAAATATTTCACGATATGTCAGTACCAAGCTTCATGAATGAAGTGTGTCTACTGGAGTGAAGGCTGCTAAAACAGATTCACAAGTGAACTGACTCAAAGTCACCACTTAGAACTTATATCTAGTCATGAGGAAGATATCATAAGATATTTCTTTATACATGTAGGTTGTCTCTAAATATTGCACAGCATAATAGCTATGAACCTGTCCCTATATGAACACATGTCACACAAGAGTTCAAAATAGAAACAATCATCTATTGCTTGAGTTTGGGGCTATTGCTTGTTTAACTTCTCAACAGAATGATCCTGAGAGGGACCAACCATTTCCATGCATACTTAAAACAGGTTTCACTGTTTTACATTCACTTACATAGTCTTATGTGCACAAAAGCAGTCAAAGAACATTCACTCCCTTCAATAAAACTTGAAGTTCCACTCCTCCCTCGTCTCGGATCTGCCCCGATTTCAGATATTCAAATAAACTAAAAATGAATGAATGGGTCCATGAGTGAAACAATACACACATTAAAATATGAATTGATAAAGATTAAAATAGGAATTCATACAGGTAATTGCATATCATGCACCACATTGTCTTCAACCATGTGTTGGTGAATAGTGATATCTGTACATCTCATTGATTTAATATGTACAGCTACATTGGCAAATAACATTATCTCCCTTTGCAAACAATGGAGGGGACACACCTGCTCCTCTCGGTCATTCCATTGACTTATCTGATCACAAGCATTGGCAAGATAATTATACTATGTAAAATCACAGCTGTACTCCCTTCGAGAACACTGGAAGGGCAGTTCCTGTCTCTATCATTTCACTGACTTCCATCCAAGCATAAAATGGCACAACATAAAATACAGTCAATTCGGTGGCTGCAGACATAAAAGTGGATATGTCTGTAATGGCTCGGGGGGATATTTAAGATTTCTGGGACTTTTCATGGAGATGGTTGGATTCAGAACTAATGCCTTTCACATGGTATGATTTTCAGATAAAAATAACCTAAATATACACATTACAAAGAAGGATCTTTGAGTTAAGCGTAGTTGTACAAACATTTTGATTGGTTTGTTGAAGCTTTGAAAATTTCGATCTGTATGGGATGAATATACAAACCGAACCCTCCCTCCACACACTGAACACTCCCTCCACGATGAACACTCCCTCCAGTCAATTAACCCTCCCTCCCTCCACAACGAACACTCCCTCCACAATGAACACTCCCTCCAGTCAATGAACCCTCCCTCCACAACAAACACCTCTATCCACTGAACCTTCCGTCTACACATGAGAGCCACTGAGAGCTCCTTCTCTGGCAGACTTGATCTGCGCAAGACGACGTCCGTGAAGAGAGAACTGTGTCCACACCAGCAGCTGCAGTGCTGCACAGATGATGGGGACGTAGACAAGGAGATGAAAGCAGCCCTCACGATGAACAGCCCTGGTACCGGTGTCCATGTCGTTGTAGCTCAGTTTGATGGAACCTCCCTGTTTGCCTGACTGGAATATGTCATGACCTGAGTGGAAAGAGGTTTAAATGATGATAACAAAATAATATGTGGCATGGCATGTGTGTATGTCACAAAGTAGATTCATGTATGGACCAGATAAGGTTGAACCTTTGGCCTATGACATTAATACAGTCATGACTGTGGACAAAATAGACACATGTGTGCGCACATACGCATGCAAAACAAAAACAAAATGAAAGCCCAGGCAGGTCCAGTTACAACTAAAATTTAATTCAGGATATTTATGATTCTACAGCAGAAATTGTGAAGTGGGACACGACAACAACATATATAATATAGATCTGATACATGGGACATAAGAGCTTAGTATTATCTTAAGAGTACATAAAACACAATGCAAAAGAAAAGTTAAAAATGCCTCCAAAATTACCAAAAGGTGCTGGTTAAAAAATGTTGAGTTCAGTTCAAAGGTTGCATAAGCCACAACTGTACATGAATATCTGCAGGTGAGTGAGTACTGTTTTACACCGTTTTTAAGGAACATTCCAGAATTATCATGGCAGGGGACACCAGAAATGGGCTTCACACATTGTACGATGTGGGGAATCGGCCCTAGTTTTTGGAGTGACGAGAGAACATTGTAACCACTACACTACTCCACCACCCCAGGTTTCCTAAAATACCACTTAAATTTACTTCTTTAGAAACTGTTATTGAACATTTGGAATAGTTTTTCACAGTGTTTCCTACCTGTCTGCATACTGAGTATCAGTGTTCCTATAAGTGGGGCCAACGTCTGTCCTGGCTTCGACACCAGTGCAGCTGTACCGAACATGAGTGCTGAAACTGGCTGGCGTCGATCATGGATGACATAGTCTTCATCCACCAGGTCACTAATCACCAGGTTCAGCAGCCGACAGGTGCCCTCGGTGAACACCCGGTTACTACAAACAGATGTCAGTGAGTGAATCGTGTTTATTGTAAGCCAGCAACACTCCAATCATATCAAGTCTTACCAGACAAAACAGTGATTAAGAGCAAAAGCAATGATCCGCACCAACAGGGTAGGATGAAATGTCAGCCAAGTCAAACAGCCGTACTAATTTATCCCAATTACATTCAGTTTTTATGACAAACCTGAGTAAAGCTCATTCCTCTTACAGACTTCTTTTAGTGGCAATTTAGAAGTTGGGAAGTACAATATTGAACAAACTTTATGGATAATAACTTCTTTTATTTTGTGAGTGTGATGTTTCGGTACAGGTTCTTGTACTGTTGTCAAGCATGAATCTGTATCAAAACGTCGCACTCACGAAATAAAAGAAGTTGTTATCCATAAAGTTTGTTCAATGTTCTCATACAGACCTATTGTTACTTGTATCAGAGAAAAACAAAATTAGCTAGATTGTGGTGAGATTTTACATTTTTTCAAACTACCAGGTATTTCTTTCCTATATTTTCATCCAAACCATTTTTTTCAAAGCCAGGTTGTTAGCTGTATAAAGCTGCTGTAAGACATCAGCATTAACTCCTGCACAAAACATTCATTTCTTGATTTACAGATTGCACTGTAATACATTCAAGATACTCAGTTGTTCTTTTGAAATTACCTTGACATAGTACCATTAATCTGCAATACTGGTAAAAGTCAAAAAGTGAGTGAGTGAGTTTAGTTTTACGCCACACTCAGGCATATTCCAGCTATATGGCAGCGGTCTGTAAATATTCAAGCCTGGACCAGACAATCCAGTGATCAACAGCATGAGCATCTATCTACAAAAGTCAAAAAGAGTTGGCATGTTATAATATCAACTCTTTTGAACCAGTGGGTCAGTAAATCTATCAGATCAAAACTATGGGCTCCCATCCTTGAGCATGAATGATGATGGGAGGTCAACTTACCTTGCAATAAAGATACACATAACAGCCATATCTGTGCCGACCCCACCAGGAACATGATGACACTCAGAGTCAGCTTCACGACAAACAGGAAGTAGATGACAGAGTATACGCCAAACCTCCGACACAGTTGTAGGAAGTACAGGTTGTTGATATGTGGAGCTACAAATGAGATACCTGTGGCAAATAAAAGCACTTGTTGCATTAACATGAGTACCCCACTCAGACTCAGTATACCCATCCTTGTTTAATATATGTTGTATTAGGGATTACACTTTCTTAGTAAAGTACAGATGCTAGTACAAATATAAGATTTGACCACTTTCTAAATAGCATTGTGGAATCAGTCCTTGTATCCCTAAATGCTGAGCACAAGCAGAGTAACAAGTACCATCTTTTAACAACATTATATGACATCAACAGACATGCCTTGACCAGACTAGCTGTACTTGTGATTCTTGCTGCTTGTTAAAAGAATCCTTGTGGCACTAAACCCCAAACTACCAAGCCTCATTTCAGTACCCAGTGAAATCTTCCTGGTTCTGGTCCAAGAGAAAGCATCCAGAGTTCAAGATCAGAACATCAAGTGCAGAAAAACGTTATATTATGCAAATAACGTATGTAAAGGTTCCTATGAAGATCACCCCTAAGTTAAGATCATTCAGAAGATTGGAATACCACAGTCCAGACTAACAAATTTTCTCTGTTAAGCCAACTCTCACCTATGAGGAACGAGCCTGTGCTTGGACTGATGGCATCTCCCAGCAGGTTCTCCAGGAACAGGGGGAAAAAGTTGCTGTTGAAGTGACAGTGAAAAACCTGAAACAGAGTGAGTGAGTGGTTGAGTAGGTGAGAGAGTGAGTGGTTGAGTGAGTAAGTTTTGGGTGGGTTGTGGGGCTGGGGATGGGTTAGGTGAGTGAGTGAGTGTACAGGTTACAGAGTAATTTTTACAAGGAAATTGTCTGTTATTAATTAACGTGAGATACGCTAAGTCTAATATATACAAGCCATGCAGTAGCATAACTTGTCTCACTTTGCCAAGACCTCTTGCACGGCTGTCATTATACAATAAGCAGCAATGTCACAATGCTTTACAAAAGGTATCACTCAAACCTTTCAAGCTAAGCAGCTGCATGACATATTCATTATTTCAGTTTCTTGACATTTAACATAAAGTATTCATGAATAAATATTTGTATTCATAATCCTATATTCATGAAATATATTTGCCTCATAGTGTATTCCTTGCAGCCTAATGAATACTCCTAAGCCTAACATCTACATCTACAATAGTGCTGCTTGGATTTGGCCCCCGGGAGTATATAAATCTGAACCACTCTGTCATGGCTGCATAAACCTGAAGGCCTCCTGATGACCTGTCATACTGTAAAAACAACCAATCCATCACAGACTGTGCAGCATGACAGGGGCACATTTGTTAACTGACTTTGCAAATGCATTTGTGACATTTAAACATGTTTAAAATGTTCTTTTTTATAACATAAGAAAATGAAAAACTTTATGGTGCTCAACTTCTGTTTAATAGCATAATAAGTGTTTCAATGTAGATTTTACTTTGTTCTCAGGCTGGAGAAGGTACAAGCGAATGATGATGGATGTATACAGTGATAAGCAGCAGATTCCCATTACCAGTAATAGGTAACTGAGTAAGTGTAATCCCAAACCTAACATATGTTACATTTATCCACTTTCTAGAAGGTATATCGTATTCATATCTTTCAGCAATGGGAGCTGTACCTATTTACACTAGTCAGAGGGGCACATAAAGAGTGAGATCTACGTGAGTGAGTGAGTGAGTGAGTGAGTCAGTGAGTGAGTGAGTGAGTGAGTGAGTCAGTCAGTGAGTGAGTCAGTGAGTTAAAATTTATAGTCACATAGGCAATATTTCAACCATAATGTGACTAAATAAACACATATATCTGGATGTAACATAATGCACAGTGTATTAAGGATTAAAGATCAGACCTATTTTTCCATAAAGTTGTAATTTCACCCTCAAGATATTAATGGCATGTTAATATTCCTAATCGCTTGCTCAAATAGCAATGTCATGCTGTGCAATCAAACCTTAACGACCAGACCAGGGCTAACCAGCAACCCACAGTTGTCACTGACATCAAAGCCATAAATAAAGATTGACATGAGCATAAAGTACACAAAATGGAAACCGTCTTAAACTGTGAAAAAAAATCTCAGGAGTGTTTGCCAACAAAACAGTCTGCCATAGCCCACTTCCCCAAACAACAAACACTGTTTTGTGTGTGTCTCTCCAGTCCACACATATTGGAGTAGTGGGCTTTTGTGTCACATTTCTCACAAGGGGACAAATCTAGTTTGGTAGGTGAAGGCAAACTGCTGCTTCTGACCATCCAAGTACAACCACAAAAACAGGAGATTTCTAACTGAACAACCACATATGAAGACTGACTGACTGAGTTTGGTTTTCCACCGCTTTTAGCAATATTCCAGCAATATCACGGCGGGGGACACCAGAAATGGGTTTCACACATTGTACCCATGTGGGGATTCGAACCCGGGTCTTCGGCGTGACGAGCCAATGCTTTAACCACTAGGCTACCCCACCGCCCCACATATGAAGGCACAACTTGAACAATTTGCTTTAAACAACACAGTATGATTGAGGCCTTGGCTCCAGCTAAAGGATCTGAACATACAACTTAGCGAGTCTGTAAGATTTGTTTGGAAGGTTATGAGATATGTGTTCAGAATAAAAAACAATCACTGTACTCAGTAATGACTAGGACTGAGTATTGGCAAACACATAATATTGCAATCCATATTTTGATATTTTGACATATTGGTAGCTAAAGTGTTTCACAGTGAGTGACACTGACAGTACATGCAATATACATGTACTGTAATTTGATTTCAGAATTCAGAAGTTCAAACCAAGCAAAGGCAGGGCTCCAGATAATTTTTCAACATCAGGTGTACATATTCCTTATTTTTCCAATATAGGAGTACTGGAAAAACTTAAGAGTACATTTAGAGTACTGAATGGAATTTAATGGCATATCAGTAATGTTGTTTTGTTTCATTCGTGAACACTGTATATGCCCCACAACATTGCTACTCTTGTGTAAACAGGTCAATAAACAATAAAACAATACTTTTTCAGATAAATATGTCTGTAAATGACCATACACCATTGCTGTGGTGGGTATCTGCTACGTTTTCTAAATTATTTCCCACCGTATCGTGCATATTTTCTATCCATAGTATGATACATACGCCGATACGGCCCTTATCTGGAGCCCTGCAAAGGTAAGAAGAAAAAGGGCGGCTGTGATCCATTTGAACATGTCCACGAATATTTCAAAGATTTTCTCCACTTTTCCAGTGGTCAGATATACCTTGTCCTTGACACTTAAACCACCTTGCAATTTTAGCAGCCAGACCAACCCAAGCCTCTCAGGCTGAGGTCAAGAAACCCTCCATCCAGTTAAGCCGCTAGCCATGATAAATAACTGTACGGTTAATTCAACAACCTTCTGATACAGAGAAAGTCGAGTTCATGCTCACAAGGGGGGAGGAGGTGTAGCCTAGAGGTTATAGTATTTGCTTGTCACGTGGCAGACCCAGGTTTGATTCCCCACATGGGTAAAATATGTGAAGCCCATTTCTAGTGTTCCCCGCCATGATATTGCTGGAATATGGCTAAAAGCGGCATAAAATCCCACTCACTCACTCGCAAACTCTCAAGACACTGCTTACCTGTATCAAATTCATTGCAGCAAACCATAAAAAGTTTTTCTGTGAGAGTAGCTGGGATATGAAGGACTTCGTGGGCGCACCTTGCGGAAGATCAAGGTCTTTGCTGCAAGACAAATTTACAATAACAATTAAACTCTACTTTTTCTGACAAAACCAGAGTTCAGATTTATTCTCATTTGTCCAACCAATCTGTCTCCCTTGGCTAAAAACTAAAAATCTGACATTGATCATTGATAGTGCAATTAGCCTTGGGTTTTCCGGCCTTGTCCTTGACTTTCTGAAATGTCGCCTGTTTCAAGCACTCTATTGTACATTCTGTTTGATTCAGCATGCTAGGGCTGTTATGATTCACCCACATATTTGGTGATTCGAACCGTAGCCCTTCATGAATTCAATTTGTTATTCGGGGTCACCAGAACCAAATATTAACGAAAACTTACACTTTTTTTAAAGGAGCATGTTTCACTTGACCCCTTATGTCCTTTTTGAAAGTGAGATATGCAAGAATGGAATATGCAATAGCCTTGCAGTAGCGCAGGTCATGCTAGTTTGCCAAAGTCGCACATGGCACTATCGACTATAACTATCACATACCAAATTTGAGTGTCATGAGATCACTGGTTATTGCTGTGACAAATTAACACTGTCAACATGGGCGTTCCATATTGTGCATCAATCACTTAACTACAATATTGTATTCGTGAATAATTATTCGTATTAGTTACCCAATATTTGTGATACATATCATATTCGCCACATCGTGTATTCATTGCAGCCCTAATATTTGGTGAATCCAACTGTATCCCTTTATGAATTCAATTGTTATTCATGACCGCAAGAATCGACTATTGACGATTTTTTTTACTAGAGTTTGGATGTTATTGTTCAAAATGAGACATGCAAATTGGAACATATCCAAGCCAGGCAGTATAACAGCCAACACTCTTATATATGTAATTTGACAGTAATGAGGTCACTGTTCATTGTTGTGATACATTAACACTGTCAACATGGTTAAAATATGTTAACTTAATGGATACAGAAAAAAGACCAGTACAACTCACCTTTCCTTTGATATATACTCTTCACCTTCCTTGTGCTTTTTTATGTAATATTTTTTCAATAGACTGGAGCTCAACAAAAACCCTACAAATGACACAACAGCCAGTACACAACAAAAACTTCGAAAAGATGATAAATCATCCTTATTCCAAAAGGCGTAGGACATAAACACAGATGCTGATCCCATTGCAGAAAAAACTGAGCATTTAAAGTTTAAACTGGTCCGAATGTCTGCCGAGACGGACAAATCAGCTAGCAGGGCGGAATGATGAAGGTCCAACATGGTCAGAAAACCATCATACAGGCACAAGCACACCACAAACTGGAGCCAGGGGTAGGCCCAGGGGATCCAAAAGGCTATAAACGATATCGCAAAAAGTGGACCGTTGATTTGTAAAGCATTGAATCTTCTCATGACGATTTCATACTGTGACGTTTTCCCTGAATTATTCAAATACTTGCGATCACTAAGCCATCCAAATAGGGGGTCATTTAGAGAGTTCCACACGAGGAAAACACCCTCGCCCACCCAGAAAGAGTATTTGTCGATCTTGTAGACGGAGACGAACATGTCAACATGGTAGAGGAGGAAGATATTATGGAGTATTGCCATGAAGAAAGCCATCGATCCATAGCAGATGTCTGTTGGCGACTGGATGCCCATGATTGGCCTTTTTAGCAGAGTCGCTGAGTATTTGAAGAACATCCACAGATTGGTCACCCTATCAGTGATGTTGACCTGGAAAATAATGTGAAGTCTGTGAATATTACATATTTCTCAAATAATCCAGTATTACTGATAATAATCCATTATGATGACATCATTCTACTGTTTTTGCAGTAGATTCTGAGTCAGGAATTCACTGTTAGAACTAGGACTGTATCATCAGTATACCAGTGTACCAGTGTACCAATGTACCACTAGGGCTGGCTAAAAACAGGTACATATAAGCTGCGTATCTGCATAAATTATGCAAATATTTATGTGAAAACTCAATTCCTATTAAGTCTATTGCGTACAAGTACAGTTGAAATTTTGTAAATATTCAACAAGTTTGATACCACATGCATACAAACACAAATAGATAAAACAACTGAGGTATATTGAGAGGTTCTCTTTCGGCACCTGAACTTGGCAACTTGCAGTCTTTCTTATCATTTCTCATATAACTGATCAAATATTAGTAACAAACACATAAACCAACACAAACGAGTACATAACTCAATGACCCAAAAGGTTATCTGTAGCTCTGTAAAAATATTGATAATTGTAAAAATCATTGATGGAAAATTGTTTAATGATTATCAATATGAGTATTGTGTCATTGATAGTATTATACATAAACTTTTCTGAGGAAATTGTAATCTATTCACAATACACAAAGTTACCGGTAGGTCTTTTTTCATGGTTTGCATCTAATTGTGATCAGAATGCAGTTATGTTAGTAATACATACATAAATATTCCACCAGTCACCAGTGACACAAAATACCTTGTTATCTTTCTGTTACTTCTCCAACATATATTGCTAATCAATCTCTATGATCTATTTTGATAGCCAGCCTTATATACTACAATACCCTTTTCAAACGATACATATTGCAATATATTTTCTGACAACTGGCATACTGGATAAAACTGTATAACAAAATTTCTATGGTTTAAGTTAAAATCTACTCAGACTTTCATTTACCTCTGTAAAGTACAGCATTTTGTCAGTTAATTACTGAAGGGAAACATCAGAGGTGAATGAAAGTCTGTGCACTATAAATTGTATAAAATAAAAAAATAAAAATCAATAAAATATCCAACCTATTTTATATTGTTATCAGAACCATCATTTATTATTAGGGCCTTAGTATGGAGAAAATATGATCTGCATGTACAATCAGTATCACTCACTGCCAAACACTTTAGCAATATATAGCAATACATATCACATTGTATGGATGCCAGTATCACCATATGTTGCAATAAAAGTTATTTGGCAATAAACAGCCCTAGCTAGAAATGAACACAACTATAGGTCATTGTTGAATGTTATGTACAATTTATGGATCAACCATGAAATGGTTAAATATTCTAAAATCACTCAAATCTGTTGAGTCCAGAAGCAGACTAAGTACATTGATTACGAAAGCGGACAAAACAGGCCCAAGGGGTTATTCTCAAAATTTCTCCATTATGTACAAATACATCTCTCTCTGTGTCGGTTTATCTAGTCAATACTCAATTATTGTCACAGTGAGGATAGGAACACCTTTCTACGACATCTTACATCATCCCAATTTGATAGTGATTCCCAAACCCATCCTCATGATGAAATCAAACTTAAATCTTTTTTTAGCATAATACAGATATTACAATATGAAAAGAGTTATGTCAATTTCATTAACAGGGCACTGTCATAAAGCTGTAACATTGCTAAGTGCAAGTTAAACATAAATAAAAATAGAATATACAGAAATGAATTCAATTGATATAAAAGTGAGTGAGCAATAACTATAATTATTTTACATTGCTTTAGCACTCGTACATAGCCATACCTTTTTAGTAGTTAATCTGCTCATCTTCAATATGTATTTCCAAACCTACTGCAAACCAACACATGTACACCACCAAAAGAATTACTTCTACTGATCCGAGTTTGCACATACACACACCCTCAGAAAACACAACTAACCTACATCATGTAGACATCTCAATGTTATGCTCATAATCATGATAATCAGTCTAATTATCTCATCATTAGACAAATAGTCACCTGAAACCAAGACCTTTCCATCAGGCCTACAAGTAATCAATATGTTGGGTAAGTGTGCCCTTACAAAACACTGAATTTGCTAGTTACAGATAAGACACATGCCTAACGTTAACACAGTATATCGATCAGCTGTGTGTCTATTTATAACATGTAGTGATGACCTTGACTTTAGGATCATAATCATGATGATGCAGCAGGAAGTACCAGTAATCACTTCTGTCAACACTATGGTCAGATCATGCTGACTTTGCAAACACATCGAAATAGTTGAAGTTAGACTCAGATATCATATTTTCAACAAGCAAAAAAGTAAGTTAAATGGTGGCCATGTATTTTGCCCACATTTGCCAGTTTTCAAAACTGTAACATATGTTACATCTGTGTGCTGGCAATTAGGTGCAAAAGTAATCTCAAATGTAATGCAGTGTTCACGAATAATGTCTGACCCTCTGACAAATCCGGTAGATTCGTCAACGGTCCGATAGAAGTTTGCAACCCTCCAGCCCCAGTGTCTGACTGTATATTTCACAAAGACTTTGACTGAAGTTGTTGTATGTAACATGTGAAACTTCATTGCTGTTTATGAATGTTATGTTTCTTAATAATTCCAATGTCAATTATAAGAAATGTTAAATCTGAAATGTCTGTTTAATTTTATTCTATGGGTCCTGTGAATTTTCAATGGGTCAGACAGACATCTGAAACTTACAGGACCCAACGTCCTGTTACTTTGAAACACCATTCGTGAACACTGGTAATGGATATTATATTTGACCACATTCTAACTAGTATTGTGTATTCATGTTAAAGCTGTGTTCTCAAATTATATGTAACAGGGATTCGACACGGAAGTTTCAACACAGTGAAAACATTTTGACCTTAAACAATGGGGTGATGAGAAAGTCACCTTGACATTTTATACATGAATTTCAAACATAAATTTCATAACAAAACAAAGTGCTGCACAAAAACAGTAAGTTACCATAATAACAGTATTTGCCAAAAAAATAATTTACAAAGCTGCTGACAGTGACATTCAATTCTTAAAAAACACTGTCATTACCTTGCCTACTTTCAGCTGATATTCTGTGGGCTTGAAGACATTCAATCCATCCACATACTGACAAGTAGTATCTCCAAAGGGTGTATTTGTTTGGGTATGCAGGCACATGCGTTATGACTGTAATCTTATCTTACTTCCACGGTATCTCAATTTATTCTAATATGACTGACATCGTGAATGTCAAGCATAACCTTTCCCATATCCTGTTAAATCTATTCATTCATAAATGTGACCAGGAGACAATATTCCAAAATATGCCCCAATAACATTTGTTTGCTGTACTAGTGTTTACTAGCCACAATTTGACTAGTGATATTATTGACTGAATGAGTGAGTGAGTTACGATATATAATCACTTCAAGACACTTCCGCCATAGCATGATTAAAACAAGTCATATATTGATACAAGAAATATACTTTGTTATGAATTCTGTCGACAAAGGAAAGTAAAACAACTACAATGGTACAGATTTAGATATTAAACTTAGCACTGAACTTAAAACGAACAGCAATATAACACGGTACTATAGATTGCCAACAACTGATGGTAGATCACCTTACTTATAGGGACCATGGGGAATAACTGGATTTAAATCATCCCTGCAATCGCTGGCGATAGTTAGGAATTTTAACCAACACTAAAATAACAACTAAAAAACAATGGTAAATAAAATATACCTTAATGATATGGACCCGGGGGCAGTGATATTATTGTTAGTATACAGTGTGAAAATATAGACTGTTATTTTACCTTGCATTACGATACATGTTTTTGATTGGTTACTAAATGCAGCAATAGAAAATAGTAGTAGTCCTGCTTGTAATGGGCAGTATCATACACTGGCCTTAATCCATGCATTAAAAAAATCAATTATGTACAGAACAAATATACATTATTCCCAATCAACCTCAAAGGCAAATAGATAGAATCCTTGATAAACCCATCTTACCCATGAGAACTGATCAGACAAAGGCTTCAGGCAAGTTATCAGTAACGTAGGTTGTGTTAAATACCAGCCATCATGAAGACCCCAAGGATATTTAGGTGTGGTAGTCACCCAGTACATTATTACAGACATAATGTCAAACAGTTCTACATGAACACAACTAATCAACATGCACTCCGCTGAAGGAGACCCTTAAGGACGTACAAACACTATTACATACACCCAATTAGATCAGTAATGGGGTCACTATATTGATTAATTGATAATAATCTGTATAATGCTTCTGTCAATCAGATTACACTATCAATCTTATGCCTGGATGGATGGTAATGATAAAAGCTTTCATGTTCTTATAACACTATGCCTCACATGCTGAAAATTGTGTGAATGTAGATAAGATGTCGATTTCTTCTTGTTAGCACTCTTATCAATGTTATCTATAAAAGGTTGTACTAATGATTTATGGCAACTAGATACAGACCCTGACAAATGATTGTGAGTTTGTGACTGAGACAGTGTGGTGGGGTAGCCCGGTGGTTGAAGTGTTTGCTCGTCGTGCCGAAGGCCTGGGTTCCATTGCCTACATGGGTACAATGTCTGAAGCCCATTTCTGGTGTCCCCCCGCTATGATATTGCTAGAATATTGCGAAAAGCTGCGTAAAACTATACTCACTTACTCACTCATGACTGAATATGTCTGCTAGATTAAGTTTAAATGATCGGGTGGTCAGGCTCGCTGACTTGGTTGACACATGTCATCGGTTTCCCAATTGCGCAGATCGATGCTCATGCTGTTGATCACTGGATTGTCTTGTCCAGACTTGATTATTTACAAACCGCCGCCATATAGCTGGAATATTGCTGAGTCCGTCGTAAAACTAAACTCACTCACTCACTCAATTAAGTTTAAAAGGAATTTAGTGTCATATGGGACTATTAGTATCAGTAATATCAGCTGAGCTTCCTAGAATGTACCAATATTTAACATACCCTGGCATCGTGTTTAAGTCACTAAAAAAGGTAGAACTCAGATGTCAGGTCAATATTGATTTTATTAGGCTATATTTTTAGATGATTTCTTGAGTAAATTTCCAAGATGCAGAGACAATTTCTAAAAATGTTGTGTGAACTGATTTTCAGAATTAATTCCTACTCACAACAGACAAGCTCAAAACAAAATATCAATCCAATACAAATTTTTCTTCTAATAATACTATAATGAGATGAGACAAACTGCATGATGAAAGATTGAATGGAGTGCGTATGTATGTGGTGAATACATATTTTTAGGAGTGAGTGAGTGAGTATGGTTTTACGCCACTTTTAGCAATATTCCAGCAATATCACGGCGGGGGACACCAGAAATGGGCTTCACACATTATACCCATGTGGGGAATCGAACCCAGGTCTTCGGTGTGACGAGCCAACGCTTTAACAACTGGGACTAGGCTAACCCACAGATTTAATAAATGAATCATACGTTAGTTAGGTTCCTAAAATTATATGATATATCATTTTGATGCGACTACTGCCTGACCGGTTTACCGGCCTACAGTGTCTGGGGACTGGGGACGTCTTGGCCGGAAAACCGGCCTACGGTGTTGAATGGGTTAATCAACTTCAAGTCGATGGTTTCGTTAGCAGACGCTTTTTGGGAGGCATGATGTTGCAGAACACAACTTTCGAACGCGAACTCTGTACAGCATCGTACATTGCATAAACAACACAGGACTGCGAGGTTCAGAGTTTACCATACTCCTTGCAGCGCAGCTCGTTTTGTACAGCACTGTGTAACGATGTTCGAAGTTCCATACCGGAAGTTATGTTTCGAAGATTAAAAATAGGTAGAGAGCAACGGGAATATCTTTGACAGAACAAAATAACGACAAAGCCTTTCTCAGTAAAATAGATTTAAACACTTTATTATTTCTAATCGTGCAGGTGAGGAGGATGCGATTTTAAATCGCTGCAGATAAATTTGAGTGAGATTTTAAGCAATTGATGCGAGAAAATCGCGATATCGCGGCCCAAGTCAATCCCTGATATATACTAACAAGACTTCAGGTGAAAGCAATGGTCCTTCAACATTTTTACTAGACTCAAGCCAACAGTTGAGTGTCAAACCTAACTCATGACAAACCACACCTGCAAATGAAGGCTTGTGTCACTTCTTTAAAAACTGTGCAGTATGGTAGCCAAGTAGATAAAGTGTTTACTTGTCAAAGTGAATAAAGAACCAGGATGCAATTGCCATCATAGGAATAAGCAATGAAACCAATTCAGGTGTCCTTGTCATGACACAGACGGAGTGTGTGAGGGATCTGTGTTCAGCAATGTTCCAGCAATATCAGAGCCAGGGACACTAGAAATTGTCTTCACACATTAACCAATTTGGAGAATCGGAACTGAGACTTCAGTGTGATGGGTGACTAAAGCTAAAACCATAATCACACACTTAGCTTAAATTATCTCATGTTTTGAGTACAAATATGTATGTAAGCCTATATCAAGTAATTTAAGCACTGAAACTGGATTTATACATATCAATATCTTTTAACATTTGCGATCTGGTACTGATTTGGTACAATAAAACATGGCAGTCTACAAGAATATCTCACTAACTGTCAAACACTGGCAGATACACATGTAAAATTTAGATCAGAACCCTGGGAACTGAAAGATTATCTTAATTAAACAGAGGCAATATATCAATTTTAAACCTGACATTTATTACACTGTCTAGTCCTAAACCATGGATATCATACAAAATATTCCTAGTTAAGACATTTTTAACCACAAAGGTTGATATTAATTCTTTGATTGATAGACATCATAAAACATGTGGAAGCAGACAAAGTGGCATTACAACAAATTCCAGAATTTTTCCTAAGATTTCAAACTAGATAGCATCTAATGTAGTACTTAAAATACTTGATTAGCGTAAATTATACACCCATATTAGCTTCTAAGTTCTATCTTTCTATCTCTGTACTGAATGGTACCATTTTGACAGGATTTTACAAGACACAAAAATGATCATTCAAAACATGCAAAAGCATAAAATGGACGTAGAACCATGGAATATAAAGTATCCATTATTAACATAATTATGATATCTCAAAGTACAGTACAATACACTATTCATTACTCTACAAGATCACACTTCCTGTAAGGACCCTTGAAATTAACAATTTGGGGTACACTGGACCCCGGTTTTGTGTGTTTTGGTAAAACCCTGTATTGGGGTATTCATTAAAAACCTATGCACTGGCTGACTGAGTTTGGTTAAACGCCGCTTTTAGCAATATGCCAGCAACATCACGGCGGGGGGACACCAGAAATGGGCTTCACACATTGTACCCATGTGGGGAATCGAACCCGGGTCTTTGGCGTGACGAGCCAACGCTTTAACCACTAGGCTACACCACTGCCCCACCTATGCACTGAAATACATTTAAATCTTCATCAACTGACTCAACCAAATGACCCAGACTGGTGTGAAGAGTTCAATTTTCACGATTTTCAACATCACTGATTAATTCAAACTCATATCATCCCGACACGGGGATACATGATGCACAAATGTGTGTCCAGTAAATGTAGAGAATGGACACAGACAAAACAACATACCGCACCAGAGAGACGCACAAAAATACCATGAGCAAACCTACAGTGCATCAAGAGTAGTTATTAGGGCTCCGCAATATAACCGCTTTACCGGTATATACCGGTTCAGACATGAAAACAATATGTATTGCGATACGCTGATTGAAAACCGGTATTTTGACATGCACTCGAAAGACTTCTTAACACTCGGAAATCTTTGGATGTAATTCCGTTTTATAAATTCTTCCTTTCCTTTTTATATTTGTGCCAAATATTAATTACATATTTATTTTGTCATGATTAAAAGTTTTTATTAAAGCTTAATCAAGCATGGTGATTTTGTTGTGATTTTGCTGTATAAATCAAACATTAACTCGATTATAAGTATTTTTTTGTTAAAAGAACTTCTTGCAATATATTGCAATACATATCGCAATATATGCTTTCGCATCGCAATATTTTGCAATATCAAAATTCTCTGCAATACCCACCCCTAGTAGTTATAAGTCATGACCACTGTCCACATGATCACTGATTCATTAAAGCCTCTGAAGTAACTATCTGAGCATACACTACACCACACTATTTCAATACTTTACAGGACCGTCATATTACCAGCAAAGACCTATAAAAACATCATTGATGGGGTCCCCTGGACCCCTACTTCTGTAACTCAAGGTAAAAACACTGCTGTCACTCATAAAGTCAGACAAAACATTGTAACAAATAGAGGGTTCAGCTCATTAACTTAAATGTCACTTGTCCCATCCTAACCTCAAAGTAAACTTTTAGTCTGCCAAACTGTGTTTACAATTAAATACAAGAGCTAAATTGATTCTAAAATGAAAACTTCTTATCACTGAGATCGAATTGTCGTTAAATCTAATTACAGATATTGTATATTTATACAGTTATATTCACTGATCCAGGTACATCAGATTAAACAGACGAGCAAGACAGTCAATATGTGCTGGACAAACATCCATCCACGACACCAGATTGACAACTTCGGTAGCCGATGTCCGATCACTGCATCGTTCGAATTCAGTACAAGCAGACGTCACATTTCCGGCATTCTAGTTTGTCTTATCGACATTATTAGACGATGACTAAAATACACAAACCTCCCCGTCGTCATGCCATCTCACACGTCAGATCCCGTCTGTTAACGAGCATGAGAATGAAATTGTTCGCAAGTCATGCTCCGTGAATCGTATTTGGATAACACCGCTTCTTCCTCACTCAATGTCACGCCCAACGCGTTTACCTCCCTTTAAGGTTTGCGATAAAGAGAGTTAATTCCCCCTGTTTGATTTCTCCCTTATCACGGAACATAAGGGGCCGTTCCTAATTTATGGCATAGGGTAGACTAAGGCTTACTAGGCATAGGGGTGTGATGATGCTTTTTATGGAGAAACATGTACAATGTGACTGAACCCCCACCCCCTAAGATTTATGTACAAAGTAAGTGACACCCCCCCGCTACATGTCATGTACAAAATGAACGAACCCCTTCCCATATTTTTAAGCGTAAGTTTTACAATTATTATGTGCAAAATTGCTGCCCCCCCACACACACACACACACGCACACACACCTCCCGCAGAATAAAATGGGCGACCACTTTCTAAAAGGCATTGTATTTTGTTTTACATGTTAACATATTCTATATATAATACATTTATAAATATCGTTTGGAAGACATGTTTTCAATCAAATCTAACTGGGAAAAAAGTTAATTTCGACTTCAGATTACATGTATATTTAATGGTTTCAGTATTAGCTAGCACTGACATTGAAAGAGACACAATGTTATGGAGTAGACAGATTAAGTAAATGACTAATTCGATTTATTTATTTATTTATTTATTTATTTATTTATTTATTTATTTATTTATTTATTTATTTATTTATTTATTTATTTATTTATTTATTTATTTATTTATTATCCTACCATTCATTCATTCATTCATAATTCGTTCATCATTCATTCATTCATTCATTCATTTCATCCGGTATGTACTTATCTTGACTTTCTTTTCTCTTTCATTTTCACTTCCGTGTCCGTATTCCCTGTGCTTAATGAATCAATGACAAACACTCCACGAAATGCCAGAGGCAATGTCTGAGCGCTTCTCATCCTTCTGGACCATAAATACGATTGAGTGAATAATACTTTTCCTTACACCGGGAGGCAACACTTCTGATAAACGCTTTAATCTAGTGAACCAAAACGGTTTATGATCATGAATATTTGGGGGGATCGTTTCATGAAATTATTTGCTCAGTGCTCCCTTTAAAAGAACCCCTGATGCACTATGGTAGGAAATTACGTTTGAACACATGTTTGGAAGTGCATATTATATAATGTAGTTAATAATCTTGACTCGGAAGAAACTACATGTGTGATAGCTCCTGTGGTCAAAGCCGTCCTAATAAACTTTGTGAAATATCTGTGTTATCTGTAGAACCAGGATTGGGTTCCCAATTTTCCAATTGCAGATTTCTGATTATGATCGTTGGTTTTCTCAGCATGGTTCAAGTACCAAAATGGTAATTTGTACATTTAATCTTAAAAACACCCAAGATACATCTGAGTCAGTGTTGCTTTGGTACATGTACACTGGACGCTTACATGCTCAATCACCGTGATGTAAACAAGTCAAGGAACTACATAAATTACCTATTGCCAAGGAAACGTTGCAAAACACAACATTAAATAACCAATTTCGGTTCTTGTATTTGCATATTATATTACAAATGGTCTTCGTCAGTGTATTAACAAGAACATCAATTGAGTCCGGGTTAAAGTACAGAATGGCAATTATATAAGGGGGGTTGACATGATAACACGTATCAGTGTTAATACACCCCGAGGTTAGGTCTACCACGCACCAGTACAATATCCCGACATGCAACTGCCTGCAGGAATGGAGATGTGGCGCCTACTCCGATTCCGTTCCTCAGTTCATGATTTAAAGAGATCAGAGAGAAACAGGTTAGCATAGCATTTGATTGTGCCCCACCTCCTTGCACGGGCAGGGCGTAGCCTTGGGATTAAACCGTTCGCTCGCCACGCTGAAGACCCGGGTGTGAAGCCCATTTCTGGTATCCACAGCTGGAATATTGCTGAAAGCGGCGTAACCCCTCACTCATCCTCCATCCTTGCAAGAAGATCCACGAATATCTGGACCAGGGTTGAAATGACGGATCGGATTAGATCAATGTCTGGGACTTGCAAACAAGTATTTGATCAAATAGGAATAAGTCACTGTCTGGGACTTTGCAACAAAGTATTTGATCAAACAGACTTTGCAACCAAGTATTTGATCAAATAGGAATAAGTCACTGTCTGGGACTTTGTAATTAAGTATTTGATCAAACAGACTTTGCAACCAAGTATTTGATCAAATAGGAATAAGTCACTGTCTGGGACTTTGTAACCAAGTATTTGATCAAACAGACTTTGCAACCAAGTATTTGATCAAATAGGAATAAATCACTGTATAGAACTTTGCAACCAAGTATTTGATCAAATAGGATTAAGTCAGTGTCTGGGATTTTGCAACAAAATATTTGATCAAATCGGATTGTCTACGAGTATAAACCGGTGTATGGGAGTATACAGTTGATGAAATCGGATTAAATCAGTGCTAAGGTCCAGACAAATTTCATATTTGTATGCATATTAGTGAAATAAGTAACTGATGGGATCAACTTGACACAACAAATATCACTGAAGAACGAAGTTGCCTGGATTAAACTGAAGGCGAGATACATTGTAGACGACGACGACTCCCCAAATTGGTCTAGGTGTTGATATACCGCTGATTGCAACTGACACTTACAGGGGTCCAGTAAACTGTAAGTAACAATAGGATCGTTACACTTTCTTTGTTTGATTCAACAGTGGTACTCACTAACACCCGTTTGACCAGTACCTGTACGTTTCTTATGAAAGCGTATCTTCACCATTCGAGCGAAACCGGCCCCCCGGTTCAGATTAATCTTTGCCTCTTCGATACGTAGATTTGACTGACAGTGAGTTAAATCATTACAATTTGAGATCGCTCTTGTAACTGTACAACTGTATTGTTGTTTATGTCTTTATGTGACTCGCAACAGCTCTTATGATAATGATTTTTACACGCAAGCTCACCGAAGCCATCCACATCAAACGCCAAAAGCCCACCATCAACCGAGACCAAGGATACTTCATTCCATCCGCTTATGATGCACTCATCCACCAAGCCCAATCTACTGTATAAACTCTCTGCTGTATAAACATCTCATTATCATTTGTACATCGTTGGCTTCCACGCCTGTCCTTTGTCTACTCTCTGGCTTCATCAACTTTCTGCCTAGCCAATTATGTTAATTATGTTGTTTTCTTTGTTACATTGTTACATCCAGTATATATATACTTCCCCCTTCTTCATGTTCCATTATGCTTGACAACGGTACAAGAATCTGTATCGAAACGTCGCACTCACGACTAAAAAGAAGTTGTTATCCATAAAGTTTGTTCTATATTGATTTTTAGTTTGTTTTATTTGCTGTTTACGCCGCACTCAGCAATGCTATAATTATGGCGGTGATCTGTAAATAATCGATGTTTGACCAGATAATCCAGTGACTGGTTGGTTGGTTGTTGTTTAACGCCGCACTCAACAGTAAATAATCGAGTCTGGACCAGACAATCCAGTGATCAACAGCATGAGCATCGATCTACGCAATTTGGATACAGGCATCACTCAGTCAGCGAGCCTGACCACCCGATCCCGTTAGTCGCCTCTTACAACAAACATGGGTTACTGTAGACCAATGCTAACCCGTCAAAGGTCAATAATATGTATATAGGACAGTCGGGTGTTTAGAAACTGTCACTCACTCACACACTCACTCACTCATGTCAACGGTGATGACGTAGAGTCAAAAAGATTTTAGCAAATTAGGGAAAACGAACGACATGGATACTCACCAAAGACATAACATCAGTAAGTACACATTATAGATATACAAGTGACATATACTTGTCGAACGTGAGAATCTAAATCTTTCCGCTTGCGAGGTGTGCCTACTACCATAACTTTCCAATGCTGATTTTCTTATCTCTTGTGGGACGGTGGGATAGCCTAGTGGTTAAAGCGTTCGCTCGTCACGCCGAAGACCCTGTTACAATGTGTGAAGCCCATTTCTGGTGTTCCCCGCCGTGATATTGCTGGAATATTGCTAAAAGTGGCGTCAAACCATACTCACTCACTTACTCTTATCTCTCGTCGCATTAATGGACAGAATATATTAACTTCACAGGATATGTACAGCCTAATCGCTGGTTTACTATTGTTCGTTGAGAGCAATGTCAGAGCTTAAACTAGTTAATCACCTAACTCAAGCATAAATTCAGGATAAGATATCAGAACGTTATACAGCCTGCAATTGTTTATTTCAACTTCGTGCAACCGCAGTAGTTTTGAAAGGCTGGTTGTTGACACGCGTGCGGCTCAGTGATTGACAGTTCGTTATAAACATAACTTTGTTGTTGACAATGGACACATGGGGCCACAATGTGAGTTCGCTATATCTGTCCGTTCGTTACATAGACGTTCGTCAGTTCCATCATATTTTTATGATTAAATACAAAAATGACCCCTAAAAAACAACAGTTCATCACACCGCCAGTTCGTTATAAACGTATTTTACTGCATGTTTACCCAACCTAGTTTCAGCATACATTGAGTAACGTTTTTTGTAAATAGAATATATTATTTAGGACAATGTACGCGCACTCAAAATTCATAGATCAGCTCTCGCCTCATATGTTTAGCAATCTTATATCCTTACTTTACTTAAATCTCTGCCCTGACTGAATGCACTAAAATCGATTCAATTTTTTTTTATCGTAATGTTGAATAGATAGGTAATACTAGTATATGTACATACCATCGTTGTATATAAACAAGGCTGGTTGTGTATTTTTCCAACACGTTTGCCCGATCTTTTATCTTTCTTATCTGTTACACAGACTTCACATTCATGTGTGCCTGTCTCTCGAGGTCATGGCGATAATATGGGTCTGTGTAATAGAGTTAGAAATATAAAAGTTTAGGAATAAATAGCATGCATGAATCGCTTGCATGCCATGTATCTAAATGAACACTACAAGTGTAAGAAGAAAGTAAATATGATTAAATCACATTTAAATTAAATTTGTTTAAATATGTTGTGTTTTCTAATTGGGAAAATTGAAATGTGACT